AAAAAAAAAAAAAAAAAAAAGGTCCAGAATTTTCCTTTGTAAGATCTCAGTGTCTGATCAAAAGAGAAATAATACTTGGAAACTTTTTGGGTCTTGTTTCCTTCATCTTTAAAATAATACGATTGCATTAAGTGATTTCAAAAACCCTTTTTATATAAAAAAATTGCTGCCTTAAAAGAAACAAACATGCTAGCATCATATCCAAAACTGGGAATGCTCCTCTCCCTCAAGACCCCACCCGTAGCTTGCTCTGTGGACCCCCCTCTGTTGGGTTGAACTCCTGGAAGCCGACAGCACTTGCCTGTCAGAGTGGCAGCTTCCTGATTCCACTTCAGAGGAGAAAAGTGAACACCCTAGAAACTAAGAATATCCTAAAAATCTAATGCTTGTTGAATTATTTCAATAATTTTTTAATTTTAATAAATTCCTTCTGTGACTTTAGTTCTCATCTTATTCTTCTAATTAATCATTCTCTTCCACATTTCATTTTTGCTGTGACTTGAAAAATTCTGATACCTTGTCAATTAAAAAATGATAATGAGTAGATTCCCTAACTGGAAAGAAAATCATTTTTACTATGATTTTTTTTCCCAAGAAATAATGGTTTAAACCAGCATCCTCTATCCTCTGGGCCTTTCCAGAATCACTTGGTCTTAAAAAGTCTGACAGAAATTTAAAAAGCATCATTACTGTTCTTGCGCTTTTACATATGAAGAAACAGGCCCAAAGACTTCAAGTACTTTTCCTGGTGGCAGGAAGTTGGTGGTAAGGTTGGATAAAAGGGCTACACTGCATTCTGTGTCCAGGCTGGTCCAGACCAGAGCAGACCTCACTTAACAATCATCCACTGTGCCATTTGTTCAGCAAGTACCATATGTCCCCAACAACAGACAATGTTATCACCCGTTCTAAAGCTTCTCTTTGACCTTCCCAACCCCTGGCTTGGAGAAATGGCAGTAGTTTAAAACCTGTTGACAAATCAAAGAGTCTGTCTAACTCACGTGCTACACCTACTACATACCTTGAAGATGGGTGACTTAGCCTTGTGTAACTCTGGGCTGTTTATTTTGGGTCAGAATGGTAACTCAGTTCGGTAGTACTGCCAATTCACACGTACTAACTGTTATATTGTAGTTTGGTATTATCCAGACTCCTCTGGTTGAAATGGGACTTATCAGAGATTTTGGCAGTTGGTATCCTCGCTGACACTAAGTACATGAAATCCCATTGGTTCGGTATTTGCTATTGCATATTAAAAATAACTCCCACCTTACTCAACTACCCATAAATAATGAATGATAAGGAGAGATTATTTTATATCATTTCACCCATGAATAGAAGTCATTAGACAGAAAGCAATTTGTTGTATGACTCTGAAAATAAATGACAATTACCAAAGATTAGATCAATCTTTTAAAGTACTTTTCAGCAGGTAGTACTTAAGTTAGTAGGAATCAGAAAATTAGTTCGGTTATATATTAGCAGAGCTGATCCTTTAAAAATGTATCTTGATTCCTGAGAAATATTTATTACTATTTCTTTTATATAGAAGTTTAATGTGGAGACTACCTAAAAACTATAAATGAATGATAGCCAATAACCATTTCATTAAAAAGTAACAAGGGAACAAGAACCTAGATGTAGTTACTCAATAAAAGTTGATTGGTCACCAATAGACTACCTTAGAAATGTTTAATTTATCACTTGTGGTCTGAGTTTGGTTAAATTATGGGCTTATTTCCCTAATATAATCTAAAACTGAGTCTAAGTAAATATGCAGATCCCTTTAAGAAAACAAACACTACATGCACACTGACATCTTCAAAGCAGACTCTCGTGCTGGCCAGTGAAGAGTGGGGTGGTGGTGCAGGCGATGAACTTACATACTCAAAGGCAGAACTCTTGGAGTGCTTCATCTTTGGGCCCCAACTGGGGAGGGACACCAGCTGGATCCGTAGCAAGGATTTGACATTAGGAACTGTTTCTGTGATGTGATTTGTAATGGGCATGTGGGGAACAGACTCTGAACCTCTATAAGTCTCTGAACTGATCAGAGACTTTGCCTATTGAGGATGACTCAGGTGTCTCATCTGAAAGCAAATCTGAAACTTTGGACTCTCTCCAAGAGTGAAAAAGAGAAAAGTGAACCCAACACCCTGGCCCTTGGGTTAGCATTCAAGGAAGAATGCTATGTCTCTTGTAAGACTAATGACAGTGTGACTAAACCTTAAATTCATATGGTAAACTAGAAGTGGGGCATGTCAAGTGATAGAAATAGCTACAATCCAGTGCCTGTGCTAGACATTAGGGCAGGCAGTTGACAAACATCACAACCTGCAATTTTCACAAAATCCTCAAATGAGGGTACCCAAGAATTTCATTCAGCATCCTGGCATTTCAAATCAGAATCAGCTGCTACTAAGAGGCTCTCTATTGTCCCTTCCATAGCATGGTGGCTGTGTGTGGCCACACACAAATCAGTTCTCAACTATGCCGAGTTTCCCAGCACTATGAAGGTTTTAAGAGAGGACGTCTGATCCCGATATCTAGTGTGTGGTCAAGTGGCCAGAGCTAAGCCCATATGAAATGTCTTCAGCCACATGTGTAGCTACCAGGACAAGAGGATGGCTGATAAGAACAGGGTTAGGCTGCATATTTTCAAGACACTTCACAAGCAAAATGAATAAAAAAAGTAATTTAAGAAACAGAAGTTTCTTTTTAATGTTTTTTTTTTTTATTTGTGTGTGTGTGTGTGTGTGTGTGTGTGTGTGGCCAGCTCAGCCCACCAGGGGGCGGGGCTGGCTGGCATGTGGTGCTGCGGGATCGAACCGTGGTCCCTGTGTTTGCTAAGTTTGTTCTAAGTAGGTGCTTTAGACCACTGAGCCATCTCACCAGCCCAGAAGTTTCTTTTTAAAACAGAGCTATTTCTACTTGTTAATGATGGTTTTTTTTTTACTAATGCCATTCATGTGTGCATTGTGGCATTGTGTACGAGACTTGGTGGACATAGAACAAGGCTTAAAGTTGAACCACCATCCTGAGAAGGTGAATGGCCTAATGACTTTATAAAGCTGTGGATGCAACTGTGCTCGCTAGGCAGGGTCAGTGTCCATTCCAAGACCTCAGGAGACACTGACTGATAAGGAATCGTCCTTCTTCCTCTTGTTATTTAAGATTTAGGCCTTAGGTTTTTCACTCTCGACTGATACATATCACACAGTCGGGCTTCTCTGTGAGGAATCTAGAGCACACAGGAGAGGCAGCTTGTAGCTGCACACAACAAAAGAAGAGCCTCATCTGAACTGGCAGAGGGACAAGAACTCTATGCCAGAAGAAGGGCTAGTCTGACTCCAGAGTCTGCCTCAGTTCCTGTAGATATCAGCAAACATCAGCCAAAGTCAGCTGCTTCGCCTGCACCCAGAGGAACGTGGAAGTACAGCGAGGCTCAACAGCACCCGCA